ACAAATGGAGAAACTGGCTGAGGATCACATGACTGAGGCAGACCCCCCCCATCCCAATCACAATCACAATCACGTTCTTATGTTGCGTGCTTTAATGAACAGATACAAGTTATCACATTGTTACAACAGCTGCAATATCATAATTTTGGTCATTTATATGGTATGTTTTTATAAGAACATTAGAAATTTACAAACGAGAGGGGGCCATTCGGCCCAACAAGCTCATTTGGGGAGAACTTAACTAATAGCTCAGAGTTGTTAAAATCTTATCTAGCTCTGATTTAAAGGAACCCAGGGTTTTAGCTTCCGCTACACTAGCAGGAAGACTATTCCATACTCTAACTACACGTTGTGTAAAGAAGTGCTTCCTCAAATTTGTTTTAAAATGTTCTCCCGTTATGCGTCTGTGATGTTATTCTGTAGAAGTTGGTTAAACAAATCTGGAAGTTTCAGAAACCAAATTGAATAGTATTATAAAAATCCCTTTATTTGTTTTACAAACACCGCAGATGGTGGACAGGCATTCGCTGAGCTCAAGCTCTGTGGGTCACACACCTGCAAAAGGCACCTTTATACAGATGGCAGTAATTGGGTAACCCTCCCCCCATGCAATTAAGAAATTAAGTAATTAACTGCGATTGGTGGTAATATATAACCCCTTATTTCAAGAATGTTTGCTAATAGTATGCAAGACCTCATACACAAAAACAAGATAATTAATATAAAAATAAATGATCTAACACTGTTCTATTCCAATTGCTCTTGCAGTACGAAGTGTGATTTTTGTAAATCTGTCTTTGTAGTGCTTTTGGGGCTTCGCTGTGTGGTCTTTGGGTTTATGGTTTAAATGTCTGTAGTGCCCGTGATTCCCGTCACCAACCACACGCCTTGCTCAGTTCCCACCAGTGATTTTTTTTCTTTTCTCCAGTCCTTACACCCTATATGTATGTGTGGTTGGTGCTGGTTAGACTATCAAACCTATGCAGCATGAAGAGTTCTGCAGGGACTGACACCTGAGCTCACGCTAGCTGAGGCCCTGTGAGAACACAGGAGAACCTGCGTCATGGTGGGGGGCAGCCATTAGTAGCCCGGAGATGGGACTACCCGCAAGCTGTGAGCAATAAGCATCGTCCAGATGAATGGCAGCTGATTTCATACTCTTTAAGACAAATCGCTGGTTATTATATGTCCATCTTCCAGCAGGTTATCCTAGTCAGTCTAGCGGAGGGGCCTGGACCCCATCCCAGGAAGTACAGGGCAGGGGCTAGGCCCCCACGGCACACCGGTCAACGGTAGCGTGCACAGGCCATTTACTGGCACCATGTAGCCTAACGTCATGCCTTTGGACTGTGGGAGGAAACCCAGACAACAACCCAGAAGAACATGCAGACTCCACACATGTGACATGAAGGTGGGATTCCATCCCAGCCACTGTGTCTCCATTTCGTTCGTTTGTTTGTTTGCTAATTGTTACAGGATTGCAATGAGCAAAATTGTCGTCCATCATGAAGCTGATGTCCCCAATCAATGAGCCAGCGTACAGTATAAGTTTGACAGGCTGTGCTGCTGTGATTTTTCTTTTTTCTTTTTTTTTTGCTGTTTAGTTTGACAGGGTTTTTTTTGCTGTAAATACCTGTGGTCGTTTTTATTGGCTGCATGACAGGGGCTGCAAAAATCGTGCTGCTGCTCCTTAATACAGATCCAGACTTGGGTAACGTGTCCAGTTATTATATAAGTGGGGATCGTAGTGAGCAGAATGATGGCGTGAGTAACGCGTGCCGCAGGGATGCCCAGTTAACAGCTCACTGACGTGCCTAGAGCCTCCTTTGAAAAGATCATCATTTTATCTTTAAAAATACTTCTGACTCTCACAGATGTCTGACACATTGTCGTCACCCTCCTCCTCTTCATCTCATGCTCGCCGCCCGGGCGCGTTTCACTTCTGACACGACACTGCGCAGATTTACGGCTCCTCCCACGGGCCTGGGTGTGTGCGTTGGGTGGGAGGTCTGCATTGCAGTTCAGCGAGACAATACTGCACCCATGTGTGTGTTTGGAGGGGGGGGGGGGTGCTGTCTCGCATTACAAAGTCTATTTCGATGTGCAATAAATTATTTTGGAGATATTTGAACCGGGGCTGATCCGTTTCATGTGCAGCCGGGAGGATGGTTCTGGTCCGTTGGGCTGCCCTGGCTGGTGCAGGGGAATGCCGTCTCAGAAATTCGGAGGTGAATGGAGGACAAATGAACGAGTTTAATTAGGACGGGTGCAAGCTGGTGGCGGAATGTGCCCCCCCAAACTCTCACACTGCCGGCCAATGTTTGAGCTCCTCTCTCACAGGCAGTCTTTGTCTGATGGGGATTCCAGGTGCCCCAAACTCTCTCTTTTTCAGTCTCCCCTCCCCTCCCCCCCCCATCTCCTGCTTCCTCCCCTCTGGCCTCCCCTCCCCCCAGCAGATGTGATCTCTGGCTCCTCGTCCTCCTCGGCGCTCTCCAGGTGTGTTGGCGCGCCCGTGGTGCGTACACTCTGGGTCTTCTCCAGCAGCAGCTGTTGGGTTGCGGCCTGCCTGCCCGTCCGGGCCACTTCCTGGCTCTTGGTCCGGCGAGGAGACGCCATTGCTGGGGGGGAGGAGTTGGGGCGCGGTGGAGGCCGGGGGGGATCTGAAGGGCAGAGGGGAGGGTTTCAGGACTCCAGGAGTATTTTCAGACACGATGCGTTTAACACGCTAACGGCTGAGTGGCTCTGTTCTGACTTCTGAACAGTGATTCTGTTTTGGTCTTGATGGCCTTCCAGGGTCATTGCTGCTGAAGATGCACCGGTTTAGTGACTTGTTTTCCATCTCTGTGCTCATCCAGAGGACACTCTCTCTTTTTTTTCCCCCTCAGTTTTTTTCTGTTAGAAATTGCTCCTTCCGATCTCCGTCCTGCTGCTTGGTGAAGGCGTAGTATCCTGCGGGACGGAGATAAAACTCCCACTGCCGAATTGGGATCCTGCAGATCCCGTACTCCGCTACGCATGGAAAACCCCGGCAGGAATGTCACATCTGCAGCCGGCATGATGATGCCTGCAGCTGACTCAGCAGAAACGTGACCCATTTGTCCAGCACATTCATTAAAAACCAAAATCCTACATCTTACATATTCACAATTTATTTCTAGTTGCAGTAATTTTAGTCTTGCATAAGAGTCGACTTGAGATCCTGCTGAAGCAGCCCCCAGATGAATATGCTCCTGGTAGTTCCTTAACCATTCTACCACCTGGTAGCTCCAGTTACCGCCTGTATATCTCCATTTGTTAAACCATGAGCGAGTGGCACTTTTGCTGGTTTGAGCTCGTATCAGAAGCCATGGCTTCGGAAGCACCCCTGGACTCCCTGATTGATTATAAACCAGCCGTTTGCTCTATCAGACATGCAGAAGACTCGCTGAAATCCGGCCAACCCCCCCTGCTTTTGCAGCGGTGTCCACATGCAGGTGCCCCTAGGCTCTCCGATGATCAGAGCAGTGGCCATCTTGCTCTACTTTAGCGTCATTACCCCACCTCGGGGCCTTCCTTTGTCTTTCTGGGAGTGTCATTTGCAGTGTGATAATAGCCCCACCGTTCATCCATCTCCATTTGCCCAAACGAGCTGTGGTCTTGCGATAAAGGAGATTGCAGCAATGACTTCCAGCTGCCGTGCCCAGAAGGCCTCCTTCTCCGTGAGCGATGGAGAGCCCCGGCTTCCTGTCATTAGGGAGACCCTGGGAGATGGGGGGAGGCGGAGCGGCTGGGGCTGGGGCACTCCCTGTTTGCGGAGACTCGGGCATGAAGCCATTCCCGGCCGGCTCCCTGGATGGACTGGAAACCTTTTTACCTTCTGAAATGTCTGCTGGTTTAGTGTCAGTAACCCCCCCACCCCCGCAGCGTCACAGCTGTGGAAAAATGAGTAATGCACTGTGTCAGTCTCTCACCTCCTCAGACTCGCCCCCCGTCACCTTATCAGACCCACCCCACTTCTAGCCCTCCCTCAGTCTGGCACCTCCTCAGACCCAGCCCCCAGTCTCTTACCTCCTCAGACTCTCCCCACTCCCACCCCTCCCCCAGTCTGTCACCTCCTCAGATCAAACCCCCACCCCTGTCTCTCACCTCCTCAGACCCACCCCTCAGTCTGTCACTTCCTCATACCCAACACCCCCCACCCTCGGTCTCTTACCTCCTCAGACCCTCCCCACTCCTAGCCCTCCCTCTGTCTGGCACCTCCTCAGACCCAGCCCCCCAGTCTTTCACCTCCTAAGACCCACCCCTTCTCAGTCTCTTACCTCCTCAGACCCTCCGTACTCCCA